AGGTGGAATGAGACAATAGAAAACAAAGCAAGTGAGACTATAGGACAAATTGAACTTTTTAAAGCATGCAATGAGGGTAAGGAGTATTCATAAAGGGGGAGATATGAACAAGGATTACCATTTTTTTGGTAGTCATTATTACCATGGTAAAACTTATTATCATACTAAGGAACAACCAAATGCCCTCTTCTTGGTAATGCAATTATGATTATCATTACAGGAATGTAATGGGATTGAACCAAAGAAGCTTTTAATATTTGAAACTCTTAACCTTATTTATCATCATCAAGACCTGGATACTAACTCCGTTGATGGTTAAAGAAAAAAGAGGCACCCTTTAATTAATTAAACGGTATCAATATATTTTACCATATATTTTTGTGAGTTTTATCTTTTTTTTCTAACAAAAGTTTAAAACGAGATATAATTATATGAAAAGAAAGTCGACAAGCAACAAAAACAAAACAATAACATAAAATTTAGCCAAATAATGTCAGATTTCCATTCAGGCATCATAGCTCCATTTTCAATGCAAGTGAAAAGTTTATCAAGAAGTGATTTCGAAAGTTTGGAAAGTTTAAGATGTGTGCCTTGGTTCTTCTTCTCTGTCTATACCCATTATGGCACTCCCTGGTAAGTTTTGGCATAATCAGTCATGCATATCAAGCACTACGAAAAGGACAAAAGAAAACGACAAGGAAATTGATGTTGATTTTTCGAGAGATATTTCTTCACATAACATAAAGGACAAATATGTGGATAAGCTCAACTTTGACCTGACCTGTGGATAGTGTGTCGAACCCCCAATTTCTCCTGCTAAACCAGGTTCCAAGGCGAAGTAAAGTTGCTTGTCACTTTTAATATAATTAAGTTATTAAAACCAGCATGGGTTCAATGACGAATGGTCTAATTATAATTGAATTAGATCAACTCAATTATAATAAAAATTAAAATAATACCAACTTCGATGAATATTATAAGTGGTTTGTAACTCTTTCTTATATATTAAAAAATGATAGTTAGATTACTAAATATGTCTAGATTTAGTAAGATTCTTTAAATTTATCTTTATTAAATTTTTTTCCTTCTCTACATTTACTAACTATATTACTTTTACCTTATCCTTTTCTTTTTCTAACAAAAATTAAATAGACAGCTATAAATAAAAAAAATAGTGCCTGTTTGATTTTATAATAAAAATATTATATTTCTCTACCTATTTTTCTAATTTTGTATAATGAAGTGTACAAAAAATATAAAAGAATATCTTTGGAATTCTTTTTCATTATTCAGAACAGTTTTTAATTTTTTTTCAAAGATACATAACAAAAAGCGTGTTCTCAAACAACTTTTTAAAATTGTTTTAAAATAAAAAACTGTTATAAAAAAAGAAATGAAGCAAAGAAACAATATTTTAAAAGTCAGAGTGGACGTTGAATCAAAGAGGTCAGTGAGTCATGGCTCAAAAAGTCGAATTGGTCCAACCGTTTGTGAGACCGGTAACATAATAATTAAATAAAAAATAATTATATGTTCCTATTAATTATTATATTATTCATTCGTTTTCTTTTAAAAAATAAGTTGTATTTTTTTACATATTTATTATTTCTAACTAATTTTATTCAAGATTTTAATTCACACATATATATTGACACTAAACGAAATAAATACAATATGTTGACAAGCATATAATACAAATATAATTAAAAACATAATATTTTGAATTATAATAGTAGTTGTTATCTTTGATTATAATGCCAATTTTATAATATAAATGTTTTTTTTATTACTTTTGCAATGGAGTAAATTTTTAACATTTTATACCAAATGATGAATAGATACAATTTTATTCTACTATTAACTTAATTTTCTCTCTTCAAAAAATTATTTTATTAGAGATTGAAAGCCGAGATCATAATATTTCAAGCTGATTCTGAATTGAATTCGGATTGTCTATATATATATATAAATATATATATATATATATTTTGACTGAGAACTGAAGACTGTATTAATAACTCAAGATTAGACAACTTACAACAGATTATCCAAATCTTCATCAACTATCCACCTCAAAATCAAAGGGTGGGTTTGTCTATATTTTTAAAAGGTATTTTGGTTTACAAATTTTTAAAAAGAAAAAAGACAAGAAAATACCTTAAATATATAAACTTAAATCTCACATCAGCGCTAGTCAAATGCAAAAGCCCATATCGGTACGGGGTATTGATTTCGCATTTCCAAATGTTGGTAAAAGACAACATTGCCCTGGATAAATTGACAAAACGAAAGACAATATAAAAAATAAGAGAGTGTAGTATATTTATATAAAGGTATTGTCAATCAGTATGAAAAAGTTGTCAACACACCTAACAAGGGGGTAACATTTTATTTGCCTAAACTTCCCAATTGGTTTGCCCTGTAATGATTTTGCTGATTACTTGTTGTGAATATATAAAATTACTGTCAATCTATTTAGAAGAGTTGTCAACGACCCTAACTAGTTGGCATCGTGTGATTTGCTGAAGTTTACCAATCGGTTTACCTTATAATAAATTTTTCTAATTATTTATTGTCAATACATGTAAAAGTGTTGTCAATTTATTTGGAAAATTTGTCAATGCGCAAAACAACGTTGTAACAAATTTTCCTGATTACTTATTGCTAGTACATATAAAAGTATTGTTGATCTATTTAAAAGAATTGTTAATGGGTCTAACAAGGTTGTAACGAATTTTCCTGATTACTTGTTGGCAGTACAAATAAAAGTGTTGTTAATCTATTTGGAAGAATTGTCAATGTGCTAACAAAGTTGTAATGAATTTTACTAATTACTTGTTACTTACAGATGCAAAAGTGTTGTTAGCCTATTTAAAAGAGTTATCAATGCACCTAACAAAGTTGTTAATCTATTTATGTGATTGATGGCAATTGGTATGTCCTATTAAAAATTTTTCACACTACTTGTAGTAAATACATATAAATGTGTTATTAACCAATAAATATTACACAATACAAATAGTGCTTTTCAAATACAAATAGTCGCTAGATACTATACAATTATCAAAAGGTTTGATGAAGTAGTAAATACTTAATTCATACATTGTCATCACATGAATCCAATTAGTAACAACTTTGTTCATTATTTGGACAAGTGCTATTGCTGGTTTGTTACCTTTTCTTCTTGTTTAAGTAGCTTCAAAACTTCATCCTTGTCACAATTTCCATCATGGTTAACTAGCCTATATAAGATGTCACGTCTAAATACAATCACTTGTTCATTTGTGTATATCAAGCTCTGTTATGCAAGAGAAAACTCTCCCATTACTTCCACACAAATGGGAATATCTCTCTATACAAGAATGAAAAACCTTAGCTTTGTCACTTTTTCATTTTGTTCCTTGAAACGCTTAGACCTTTTCCTTTTTAATTTCTCATAAAACTCCTTCCTAAGCACCACAAATCCATTTAGTATTGATTTGGATGGTTCTCCTTCCAAGACCATCTTCATTCTTTTGCAAATAAACAATCACACAATCTCAAATGTTGTCATTTACTCTATAGTCATAGTCAATCACTACACATATATAGTAAACTCCAATACTAGACGTTGTCACCTCAATTTAACAAAATTCGATTAAAAAAAAAACACACTAAGAACATATTGGAGCTGCCAATTAAAAACTTTATGGAATAACTTTATTTGAATCATTACCACATTTTATTGACCAGTTTGGGGGGGCACCACATTCCCATTTTTATCGTAGAATGAAATTTTTGTTGCCTATTTTTGACCCATGAGTTTTTAGAATGAATGTATTGGATAAACATTAATGTTTTGGACTCCATCCATTTTTCTAGTAATTTTGAAAAGTAGAGATGACTAGGGAGACTCCTTTCCAGATATTTGCACATAATACTAAGAATACGTAAGCTCTATGAACTGAAGAGTTAAATTGCTGATAGTTTATGAATGACATAACTCATAAAAAAATCTGCATTTTGTGTTGATATTGATAATATCTCTTTGTCAACCTTAAAGTTCTTTTTTGATACATATGGTCTCCTTCATATCTAGTACTAAAGTGTTTGGTTTGTGTGGGATTGGAGGCCTTCCAGGAAAATGTGGAAAAGATAAAAAAAAAAAAAACTTTACGGGAGGTCAAAATTAAAATTGGATCAGAATTTACTTTAAAGGCAGAAACCAACGATAAAAATTGGGACGCAGGAATTGACCACCATGTTGTGCTCTTCTGCACACAACGTGACAATCCAAGAACAGGTTACAGCCACTGGATTTTGAATTCCTTCCTTCCCAGTTCAATCAAAATAAAAAATTGCCAGTCCTATTTATAATGAAGTTATCCCATAAATTTTTTTTTTTCACAAATCAAAATCAATCTGTACTATCCAGTTTTATTCTATTATTAAGACCTTTTCAAACAGCCCTCTATAATCCCTCAACCATTATTTAGCAACGAACAAACTGATAGAGCTTAAGATAATCATACTTTTATTCTCCTAATTCTCTAATCTTCCCTCCTAATTTCTGCTCTAACTGATTAACCTATAAGAATCACCATACAAATAAAACAAATAAGCAACTTACCAGATCCGAGCAATGGCGACAATGCACAGACACTCATCTCACGATGACAACGCTTTTTCACGGAGATTGCGATGATGGCGGAGGAGTGAGAAGGGAAAGGGAAGTTTGAGAACACAAATAACCTCCAGTGTTGGGATCTTTTTTAAATTATATTTAAGGTTAAATTTGTCTTTTGTCAATAATTAAAAATCTCAAATCAGTACCTAAGTTTTCATATGGAGTTTTTGCTTTTCACTTACACTAATACGAGATTTTATATATTTAAAAGTATTTTTTTAAAAATTTTTTCCCTTTTCAAAAACCAATTAATATTATTATATTATATCATCTTACTAAGCGTTGGCACGCTTTTTTTTTTTTAGTTCTCCCACTTTCGACTTTTGAGGAGTCCCGTCCTTTCTTCCGCTGCCCCTGTCCGTGATTTTCCTTCGCGTGGTTCATTTTGAGGACCAGACTCTTCACTCCATTGAAGGTAAAGGCTTCAGCTTTCTTCCTATCGGAAACTCCCATTTTATTTTCTCAACTCTCTTTTCCCCTCGTATGCATCAGTAAGTGGGCTTCTTTTCTTCTTTTGCTACTCGTTCACCGCCGTCGTTTTCCTGCTTTGCCGTCTTGTGCCCTTAAGCCGTCCGGTTTTTAAATATCCGCTACGGCTCACGGCTCAACTCCGGTTACTGGCTGGACGGTCCAATCCGGCCCAATTCCGGAGGCGGTTTAACCTTGTGAAACGATGCATCCTTCCCACCGGTTGGCGGCCCGACCGCTTCACCCGTCCAGTCCGGTCCGGTCGAATGGAAAATGAATCTTTTAGCTTTTCGAGGCTGAAGTTGTTCTGGAATGCCGCTCTCTTTTCGTTGAAATCCGGACTGTGTTGCATTGTTGTTAATTATTAACGGTACTAATTATAAGAGTTAGTTGAGAGATTAAATAAAAAAATTAAATTAGTTATTTGTAATAAATAGGTGTTGTCTTTCTTAAAATATCTGTACTAATTAAATGTATTAATTAAGTGTATTGATTACTAATTAAGTGTATTGATTAGAACTACTATTGTTAAAAGGATTACTTTAAAAAAATAAATATAAGAGATAAAATGTATTAGAATTTTATATCTAGAACTAAAATAAAAATTAAATAAAATTTTATATTAAATACAGTAGGACTTTGTTGATTAAATTAACTTACATCTAAAACTATCCGATACTGCTCCTTCTAAAACCAAATGATCAATGTCTCATTTTCATTCTTACCTGACACTTCTGAAAGTATAGGTTTGGGATTGAGTTACGCGCCCATGTTATTTTGGTGAGATGTCAGACCTCAATGTTTTATTCAAATAGTAACTAATATTGTATATGATGTCGTCGTTGGATGCTGCTATTAATAATGTAACATTTTTGGGGATGATGAAACATTTTTGAAACTTTAAGAAATCGCCGTACTTTTCTGACAAAACAAAAAATAATCGCTATAGTTTGAACCAAAATCTTGATTTTTTTTTTGTAATTTTTTTTGGAATTTTCTTTTATCGAAAGCAAACCTGATTACAATACTGGTCTTTGGTAAATGTTTTAGTTGATCTTTTATCAAATTAAAATTCAAACATTGCCGTTGAAGATGACTATGAGAATATAAATGGTTATGATTGAAGCATTATGTTTGAATATTGAGTTGTATACTTGTACGATGACTTCATGAATTGTTTATTCCTTGGACTTTTGTGTGATATTTTTTTTTTTCCCGGTGAACACCTTAGTGTGATATTTTAATTAAGCTGGTAGGTTGCAATTTCATATTTCAAAAATCTTTAAAAAAAAAAATTCTCCTTCCAATCTTTATTATAAATTTCAAATAATTGATTTATGAATAATTAAAAATAGTTAAAAATAATAAATAGGTTAAAAATAGATTTTTGTTTTCAAACATGCTCTTATAATAAATGAGATAAAGGATAAAAAAGAACATGTGAGAAAATATGATAAGAGAGAAATAATTAAGAATAATATTAAAAAAAGAAGTATTAAATATTAAGATAAACTAAAATTGAAACTCATAAAATATATAATATCTTCTCGTAATTTTGAAGCTTAAATACGACCAGTACCGTTTAGCGCCTGCCTTTGTTGAACGTGAGCATTAATATAACGGGCACGCCCTTTGTGTCCATATTAACCGATTGCTTTATTTCTTTTTCCCATCTTGACCTGAAATCTATCTCTTTATTTCAAAGCTTCTTGGTTTTTCAACTTGGCTTGACATTTCCTCCTTTTATTCTTGGGCGCAAAAACTGGGGACAGAATATTGCTAGTTAATTATCATAACTTGTGGGTTTCGGTCATTTGTTGGATAATTTAAGATTGGGTGCTTGAAGTATCATTTCTTTTCCTTTGGCTGAGAAATTTTCGAGGTTTCAGGATTTCGAGTTACTTGCTGGTCCTTCTAAAACAATCACTATTTTGTGTTTTGTATCTGGCTTCATTTATAATGTCCAAGAGGATTTAAAGAATTCAACTTCTGTTTTCTGATTTTTTGTGATTGGGTGGTTTGTAGAAGACTTGCTATTTTACGAAATTAATCAGGCAGACTTATACAATGGAGTGTGGATCCTTTCTGCTCTAATATATTCTCATCGCTGCACTTGGTCTTATTGCAGGCCTTTCTGGGTAGGAAATGGAGCCAAAGTGCGCAATCAAGAAAGATGCTACTGAAGTAATATTTCTTCATTATTGTCCTGACATGTTTTCTTTTTCTCATGTCTTTCATTTATATTCTTTATTTTTCGCCTTTTGCAGTTAATAGGTAACACCCCAATGGTTTATCTGAATAATATCGTTCAAGGGTGTGGGGCTCGTATTGCTGCTAAACTAGAGTCCATGCAGCCCTGCTCCAGTGTCAAAGATAGGTACAGATTTCCTTTCTTTGTCTATAAGTAGCTCTTCAGTCTATCTGGAATTTTATTTAAAATTGTATAATGATAATCTTCTCCACGTTCAGGATAGCTTTAAGCATGATCAAAGATGCTGAGGATAAAGGCCTAATTATACCTGGAAAGGTTAGTCATGGGAAGTTTTGGTATCCTTAGATTCTTTTTGCAGCCTAAGGCTTGTAGTTATGCAGCTATGCATTTTCTCAACTAATCTGTTTTTCCTTTTTTGTTTTGCCAATAATATTATTGAAATCCCTTTGTGGTCGTCAATTCTGTGTGTGTTTCTTTCTTTCCAGAAGCTTCCATTATGGCAAACATGCATGTTTCATTCAGAGTCGCTAGTATCATTGGTGGTACATGTTTCAAGGCGCTCATTACATGATAATTTGGCCATCATATTCAGAATTGTTCCTCAAAGTACTCCCTCAGGTCCATAATACAGGACCTTAGTTAAGCTTTCTCACAGGCCAAGGAAAAGAGATGTTGGTTAAGTCATTAAATCTGTTTTAGATTGATAAAAGTTGCCAATTTTACTCTTATTCAATAATGTGATTGAAAAGTTCTCTCTCTCCCTTCCTTATAAGAAGGGGTAAAAGTGGAAAACTATCATTAACTACTCTATTCACCTCTTATATTTTGGAACAAATTTTGTTTCTACAACAACAACAACAATAAGTTTTATCTCATTAGGTGGGGTCAGTTACATGAATCGCAAGATGTCATTGTACACTATCAACAACCAGGTCCTTAAATATGTTGTTGACCAGGAAATTACGTTCAATGACCTCATTAAGCGTTCTTCTTGGTCTTTCTCAGCTCCTTTTTATAGAACTCCAAATTGTTTGATTTATCCTTCTCACCGAGGCCTCCAATAGCCTTCTCTGCACATATCTGAACCACCTCAAGTGATATTTAACCATTTTCTCTTCGATAGACACCTACTCTTGCTTTGATATTTTTATTTTGAACCTTGTCTTTTTTTGTATGGTCACACATTCATCTCAACATCCTCATTTCTGCTATCCTAATTTTATGCTCTTATTTTCCCTTTGTGGCCCAACATTCGCTACTATACATTATAGCTGGTCTTATAGCAATTTGATAAAATTTTTCCTTAAGCTTTTCAATGACTTTTTTATCGCAAATAACTCTGGTAGCCTTCCTCCACTTTACCAACTAGCTTGAATTTTATGAGAAACGTCTCCATCAATTTTCCCATCTTCATGTATAATAGATCCTAGATATTTGAACTTTGACATTTGAGGAATGATTTGATCTCCTATTTTTACCTCCAAATCACTATTGCCTTGCCTCTCCCTAAATTTGCAATGTATATATTCTATTTTGCTCCTGCTCAAGCGAAAACCTTTTAACTCCAAGGTCCTTCTTCATAACTGTAATCTAGAGTTAATATCTTCTCTTGATTCAGCCACGAGGATTATGTTATCTGCAAAAAGCATGCACTTAGGGATTTTTTCTTGAATAATCTCAGTTAGAACGTCTAGAACAATATTAAACAAGTAATGACTCAAAGAAGATCCCTGATGTAGGCCAATCTTAGTGGGAAAGTCTTTTGTCTCATCTCCAGTGGTTCTTACACTAGTAGTTATCCTTTTATACATATTTTGTATGGCTTTGATACAAGTCACCCCTACACCTTTTTTTTTGAAAGCCTCCAAAAGTACTTTTCTTAGCACTTAATCATAAGCTTTTTCCAAGTCAACAAAAACCATATGTAAATCTTTTTCTTTACTCTTATATTTTTTATTAACCCCTTAATAAATAAATTGCTTTTGTTGTGGATCTCCCTGGCATAAATCCAAAATTGATTCTCCAAAATAGAAATCCCCAACCTCAACCTATGTTCAATCACTTTTTTCCACAATTTCATCGTATGGCTCATAAGTTTTATCCCTCTGTAACTTGCACAGTTTTGAATATCTCTTTTATTCTTATAAATAGGAATTAAAGTGCTTTTCCTCCATTCATCGGCATATCTTTGGAGCGCAAAACTTCACTAAAAAGTTTGGTTAGCCACAATTCACCCTCATCGCCTAAACATTTCCAAACTTCAATAGGAATACCATCAGGTCCAATGGCTTTACTATTATCTATTTTCTTAAGAGCTGCCTTAATCTCTCTGATACGAATCCTGCGTTAAAAAGCCAAGTTTTGATCATCTTTGCTAATTAGCAAGTCCTCCCACTTTGAAGTTGCAATTTTGCTTCCCTCATTAAAAAACTTGTAAAAATAAGCCTGATAAGACTCCTAATAATAAATAGGGCGCGACATAAGAGGGGTTCAGTTTAACAAGTTGACTTGGTCTCATTTTATTTGATTATTTTAATTCAGTTTATGAAGTTTGTTGGCAGAATAAGTGGATAAGTTGTTAGTTGTGAGTCTTTCCATATTTCCCATTTCATTGTTATCCCGAGAATGTAGGGAGAGTCAATTGTTTTGTTATTAGCAGAGTCATTATATATTGCTTGCTCCCCTGTTTAACAAGGCGTGAGTAAAATAACATTCCAGTAAAATTATTCCAGAGATTCTCTTGGACTATTCTCTTGTTTGTGGCGAGATTCTTGTTGTTAGTTAGAGATTAGAGTGTTTTCATTTTTTTCTTTCCCTTTTGTTCTATCTGAATTAGTTTTCAGGGAGAGCACTTACCAGTTTTGGCATCAGAGCCATGGTTGAGACAAGATCTTCTCGAACCCAACCAGAAGAAAACCCCTTCGCTGCAGAACACTTCGCTGTCATAGCTTCCAAACTTGAAACCTTGGACGTTATCGCAGAGAGGGTGGCAACCCTTGAAGCTGCTTCCTCCAGGAATAACAGGGAGTGCAGTTCAGGATGAAAGAGATGGGCAGATGATAGTGATGATGATTCTGAATATTATCGGCAAGGACCCAAATCGCCCTACATGAAAATTGAATTCCCAAAATTCAGTGGGGGTGATCCTAGGGGTTGGGTACTCAAAGCAGAAAAATATTTCCGCTATTATGACACTCCGGAGGACTTAAAGGTCGATGTAGCCTCAATGTATTTGGAAGGTGATGCCTTGGATTTGTTCTCCTGGATCAATTCTGAAAAGATTTTCTTGTACTAGGACGAGTTGGTCAAGGCACTGCAAGAGCATTACGATCCCCCCGAATTCCAGAATCCCGATGAGTATCTGTGCGCCATCAAGCAAACAGGGTCAGTGCATGATTATCGCCTGGAGTTTGCTTATTGGGCTGCTCATGTTAAAAACTGGCCGGAGCACTGCCTTTTGGGTGTGTTCCTAAATGGTCTCAAGGAAGAGTTGCGATCGGATGTAAGGGTGCAGAAGCCACGGACAGTCTACCGAGCAGCCAGCCTTGCGGTGGAGTTTGAGAAGAAACTAAGGGCCACCCGTGGGCCCAAGCCCATTAATCTTTTGACCCAGAATTGCATAGCCCAGTCTGGATACTCCCCAAATTTCCCACGTGACCAGAACACTGCCTCCTCCTCAACCATTCGTACGACTGCAGCAACCTCATCCTCTCAGCCCAGCAATTTGACGCCATCCAGACCTACAATCATGGATGATGAAAGACAGCGATGGAGAGATAAAGGATTATGTTTCAAGTGTGGAGCTCCCTTCTGTCTCGGACATCACTGTGTGGGGTCATTCTCCCTGATAGAGGTAGATGATGATGGGAACCTCGTGGCTGACTCCTTAGAACCTGTAGAAGAGGTTGAAGACGATCAAACCACCATTGCTGAAATTTCATTCAATGCTATACTGGGTCGACTGACCTCTGCCACTATGAAACTCAGTGGGAAAATTCATGACAAAGAGGTTCTGCTCCTTGTTGATAGTGGGTCTACCCACAATTTTATTTCTGTTACATTGGTCAATGAACTACATCTGCCCAACCATTCCTACTCTCAGGGTTCAGATCAGTAATGGGAGAGTAGTCCGCTGCAACTACGTTTGCAAAGATCTTGAAGTCAAGTTACCCGGTTTGAACATTAAATAAGATTTTTATCCGTTTTCCTTGGTGGGCTCCGACATGGTTCTGGGTATTAAATGGCTTGTATCCTTAAATACCATTCAAGCGAATTGGAATGACATGTTTTTAATCTTTTGGGTTGATGGAAAGAAATATAAGTTGCAGGGGGTCCCACACGCTGAAAAGTCAGACGCAGGCTTACACTCTATGGTCTCTACTGAACTCAGATTGGGGTCAAATAGTGCTGGTGTGTTGGATTTAGATCATTTGTATGTTGAGTTTGATGCTGTTTTTCAGGAACCTAAGGCCCTACCTCCCTTTAGAGAGCACTTCCACTCCATATCCCTCCTTCCAAACTCACAACCCCCCAACTTGCGGCCATATCGATATTCGTATTATCAAAAGAATAATATTGAGCGATAGGTAGATGAACTTCTTGAAAAGGGGTTTATTTGGCCTAGCTCAAGTTCCTTTGCAAGTCCATTATTACTTGTTAAGAAGAAGGATGATTCTTGGCGAATGTATGTAGACTATAGGGCCCTCAACAAGATAACAGTACCAGATAGGTACCCTATTCCCAACATTGATGAGCTTCTTAATGAATTGCATGGTGCTGCTTATTTTTCTGTTACATTAGTCAATGAACTACATCTGCCCAACCATTCCTACTCTCAGGGTTCAGATCAGTAATGGGAGAGTAGTCCGCTGCAACTACGTTTGCAAAGATCTTGAAGTCAAGTTACCCAGTTTGAACATTAAATAAGATTTTTATCCGTTTTCCTTGGTGGGCTCCGACATGGTTCTGGGTATTAAATGGCTTGCATCCTTGAATACCATTCAAGCGAATTGGAATGACATGTTTTTAATTTTTTGGGTTGATGGAAAGAAATATAAGTTGCAGGGGGTCCCACGCGCTGAAAAGTCAGACGCAAGCTTACACTCTATGGTCTCTACTGAACTCAGATTGGGGTCAAATAGTGCTGGTGTGTTGGATTTAGATCATTTGTATGTTGAGTTTGATGCTGTTTTTCAGGAACCTAAGGCCCTACCTCCCTTTAGAGAGCACTTCCACTCCATATCCCTCCTTCCAAACTCACAACCCCCCAACTTGCGGCCATATCGATATTCGTATTATCAAAAGAATAATATTGAGCGATAGGTAGATGAACTTCTTGAAAAGGGGTTTATTTGGCCTAGCTCAAGTCCCTTTGCAAGTCCAGTATTACTTGTTAAGAAGAAGGATGATTCTTGGCGAATGTATGTAGACTACAGGGCCCTCAACAAGATAACAGTACCAGATAGGTACCCTATTCCCAACATTGATGAGCTTCTTAATGAATTGCATGGTGCTACTTATTTTTCTAAAATTGACTTGCGTTCTGGGTATCATCAAATTAGAGTCTTGGCTGCTGATATTCCTAAGACAACATTTCGAACACATAGTGGGCATTATGAATATGTCGTGATGCCTTTTGGGCTCACAAATGCTCCTGTTACATTCCAAGCTGCGATGAATGACCTATTCAGACTCTATTTGAGGAAGTTTGTATTAGTGTTCTTCAATGATATTCTGGTGTACAGCTCGAACCCCCAACAACATGAAAACCATTTACGGAAGGTATTTCAAACATTGTAGCAACACTCTTACTTCACTAACTTTAAGAAATGTGCCTTGAGGCAGTCCCATGTCATGTTCTTAGGACACCGAGTTTCAGCAGAAGGGGTAGAGACTGATTATGAAAAGGTCAGCAGTGTGAGGGAATGACCGGTACCTACAAATGTAATAGAATTACATGGCTTTCTAGGGCTCACTGGTTACTACAAGAGGTTTGTGAAAAATTATGGTATTATTGCTCGACCTTTTACAGAACTTACCAAGAAAAATGCTTTTTCCTGGTCTCTAGATGCTCAAAAAGCCTCTGAGAGGCTAAAACTTGCTTTGATTTCTGCTCCAGTTTTGAAACTTCCTGACTTTAATTCTAAGTTTATTGTTGAATGTGATGCCTTGATAGAGGGTGTTGGAGCTCTTTTGCAACACAATCACCCAATTGCTTTTTATAGCAAGTGGGTTCTCTTTCTCAAATAGATACCAGTCTGCTTATGATTGCTAGTTATCAGTATTGGCCTTTGCTCTGCAAAAATGGCGTCATTGCTTGCTTGGTCGACATTTTACAGTTAAGACTGATCACAGCAACCTCAAGAACCTTCTGGATCAATGACTACTCACGAACAATCAGCAGCGTCTCATTTTAAAACTCCTCCCTTTTGATTTTTCCATTGTTTATAAAGTAGGTAAGGAGAATATTGGGGCTGATGCACTGTCTAGGAGGCCCCAACATGCTGATTTCTTACATATGGTGGTGCCCTTACCTATGGATTTTCTAAAACTTGAGGAGGCATTACTATAGGATCCATATACGGCCCTTGTTGTTGCTGCATTAAAAGAAAACCCCACGGCTAAACCGGGTGATACCTTGGTAGAGCAAAGACTCTATTTCCATGGGCAGCTGGTTATCCCCAGGAGCTCACTTTTACGCGCCAAGTTACTTGAAGAAGCGCACCTCACACCTTCAGGAGGTTATGGCGGGTTCTTGAAGACCTTAAAACGACTCTCAGGTACAATTTATTGGCCTCAAATGAAATCTGATATAAAAACTTTAGTCTAGCAATGTTATACCTGCTAAAAAATCAAATACGAGACCTTGTCTCCTGCTGGTTTATTACAACCAATTCCGGCTCCTAAAAGGATTTGGGAAGATATTTCTGTTGACTTCATTGTGGGTTTGCTTAAATCTAGAGGTTCTGATACCATTCTAGTTGTTATGGATCGACTAAGTAAATACTGTCATTTCATCCCTTTGTGTCATCCATATATTGCAAAATCAGTGGCTACTCGTTTTTGTGAAGAAATAGTTCGCTTGCATGGAATGCCCTGTTCTATTATTTCAGATAGAGACTCGCTTTTTCTAAGTGCTTTTTGGCAGGAACTATTTAAGTTTAGCCAAACTTGTTGAAGGATGAGCACTGCCCATCATCCTTAAACAGATGGTCAAACTGAGGTAGTCAATAGATGTCTTGAGGCTTATTTGCGGTGCTTTGCTCACGATCAACCCTGTGCTTGGAGCAAATTTCTATGCTGGGCTAAGTACTCTTTCAATACCAGCTTTCACACTGCCACCAAGATCACTCCATTCAAAGTGGTATATGGTAGAGATCCCCCTCCACCCCATCCTTTTGTCAAAGGAGAAACCCAGATTGAGGAATTAGCCGAACAGCTTGAAATCAGAGATCAAATGCTTCAGTTGCTCCATGACAACCTGAGAAAAGCACAAGACGACATGAAATCTTATGCTGACCAACACTGCAGGGAACTTGAGTATAAAGTAGGGAATGCGGTTTTTCTTCGTATTCAGCCATTCCGACAGTAGTCCTTGTCTCATCAAAGATATACCAAACTCTCCCCACATTTCTTTGGTCCTTACAAGATTACAAGGAAAGTGGGACCTGTTGCATATGAGTTGGAGCTTCCTGTTACAGCTAAGATTCATCCTGTTTTCCACGTGTCACTACTGCGTCTTGCTCATGGACAACCCCTACTAGATCTACCGGCTGCATTACCCTTAATGGCTGATTTTGAATTACTGTTGGAACCTGAAACAGTGCTGTCTCATCGTTGGAGAGGGCCCCATTTAGAATTGCTTGTGTGCTGGAAGGATAGACCAAAGGAGGAGGCAAGTTTGGAGGATTATGATCTGTTACAGTAGCAATTTCATTTTTTTCGCCTTGAGGACAAGTCGAGTTTTCAGGGGGGGTAATGATAAGACTCCTAATAATAAACGGGGCGTGACTTATCAGAGGTGACATAAGAGGGGTTCAGATTAACAAATTGACTTGGTCTCATTTTATTTGATTATTTTAATTCAATTTATGAAGTCTGTTAGCAGAATAAGTGGATAAGTTGTTAGTCGTGAGTCTTTCCATATTTCCCATTTCATTGTTATCCCAAGAATGTAGGGAGAGTCAGTTGTTTTGTTATTAGCAGAGTCATTATATATTGCTTGCTCCCTTGTTTAGCAAGGCGTGAGTAAAATAACATTCTAGTAAAATTATTCCAGAGATTCTCTTGGGCTATTCTCTTGTTTGTGATGAGATTCTTGCTGTGAGTGAGAGATTAGAGTGTTTTCATTTTTCTCTTTCCCTTTCGTTCTATCTGAATCAGTTTTCAGCGAGAACACTTACCAAAGCCTCCCATCTATTCTTAATATCTCTATCAGTAACTAGAACTTTACTATTTTTATCCTTTATACACCTCACTTACTCCAAATCTCTCTTTTTCTTTTCTCTTTGTTTCGCAATCTTGTAAATATTTCTTTTTCCCGCCTTTGTTCCTAACTCCTTATAAAACTCCTCATAAGCTTTAGAACATGCTTCACTCGCTAATCTCTTTGTCTCTTTTTTAGCCGAACGATACTTTTTCTAGTTTTCCGCATTATTGCACAAATGTATAGCTTTAAAACAATCTTTTTTCTATCTGGCTTTCTTTTGTATGCTCTTATCCCACCACCATGTGTCCTTGTCTTTTTGACCACGACCTTTGGATTCTTCTAAAATTGCTTTAGCAACCATACAAACCCTAATGGCCATCTCCTACCACATAAGGTTTTTTTGAAAAACTCCCACTTCTCACCCTTTAACTGCTACCATCTGACTTTGGGGTTTACCACTTGATGATACTTTTATCTAATACTTTTAAAACGTATATCAAGGATAAGTACCCTATGTTGGGTAGTCACTCTATCCCCAGGGATCACTTTGCAATTTGTACAAAGTCTTCTGTCTGACTTCTTAACCAAAAAGAAATCAATATGTGATTAGAAAACTTATATTTTGGACTGGATGGAGTATATGTTAAGTTGTATTGCATGGCACTTATGTCCATATAGATCAATGTATGCTTCAAATAACTTTCAAGCACTCTGATATGTTCAATAATGGTGGCCAAAGACTGTTCTTGTGGAGCCAACAAGTGGCAACACTGGCATAGGATTGGCATTCATAGCAGCATTGAGAGGCTACAAAGTTTTTGTGGTCATGCCAGCTTATGTAAGTCTTGAGAGAAAAATTATTCTTCGAGCATTTGGAGCTGAGGTATATTTGACAGACCCAGCCAAAGGAGTTGATGGGGTTTTTGGGAAAGCAAATGAGCTATTAAGCAAGACACCCAATAGTTTTATGCTTCAACAATTTGATAATCCTTCCAATCCACAGGTATTACCCAAATCAATCTTAATTTTAGTTCCAGGTTGAGAAGACCCATATGCTACGTTGAGAAGCCTTAACGTTCTGTTTCTGCCGTTTTAATAGATCCATTATGAGACCACAGGCCCTGAGATTTGGAGAGATTCAGGAGAAAGAGTTGATGCCTTGGTTGCAGGGATAGGAACTGGGGGGACAATTACTGGTGCCGGGAAGTTCCTCAAGGAAAGAAACCCAGATATCAAGGTTTCTGTCTTTAAGTTGCATGTTTTACTGGTTGAACAAGAGATTAATTGACGGGCCTTTTGTTCTTGACATTTATGCTAATTTCATGATTTCTGCTGTTATGTTTTCCCAGGTGTATGGTGTAGAACCAGCTGAAAGTGCGGTCCTGAGTGGAGGAAAGCCAGGTGATCTCATCATTCTCTGTATATATGACTGAATCTTTCTTGTTGTTTTGTATTGGACAAGAATTAAGTAGCTGAAATCTATAGAAGTCTTCCTGCGTAGAGTTTATATTTTGTCAAAAATGAATCAGAGCAACCCATAGAGATCAAGTTGCATAGAAAGACATCAATAAATTTTTGCCCATCTATGAGATTGTGTTAGGACCACTTTTAGAGACCCAGGAAGATACATGAAAAGGGAGAGTTACTTTTTGTTGGGCAGAAGTTTGACTTGCTATTTTGAAGAAAGAAGTTGAGAATAAGTAGCTACAGGGCTGCTATTGTCAAAGTCCGTGAGTTGGGGGCTGTGAAAGTTATTTTTGGGTCTATAAATCTTCCCTTTTGGTTGAGCAAGGAGGTAGAGAAGACTTTTGAGATGTGCGGCTGAGGCCTTTGGAGGGAGAGAGCCAATCCTCTCGAAAGATTGGTAAACTTGTTCTAGAATTCCTATCTTGTGTGTTTTATTTTGTGAGAGTTGTGTCTGAGTGTATTGTATCTTTTGTTCGTCGTGTTGTAATCATCTTTTATGCAGTGAAAGTATTATTAATCTCAAGTATTCCCATTCTGTGTTGCTTATTTCTAGTTTATATTCTGGTTATAAACTTGTTTAGGAGAGGGTTCTATCAGATTGCCTTGAATTTTTGATCTACATATGTATTGGAAGCTTTAATCTTGAGTGATTATCCTTTGAATTACAAAATTCATTTCCTAATTTATCACTTATTGGCAGTATAATTGTTTGTTTAGGTGGGGCATGTATAAATTTTTAAATATGTCTCCTTTCATCTCGAGGAAAACATTAGTCAACAGTGTTATGATGATCACTGACTGCTTTATTACTTCCATGTATTGAAGGCAAGCATTTAATTCAAGGAATCGGTGCTGGTATTATCCCAAATGTATTGGACGTTAATCTGCTCGATGAAGTTATTCAGGTAGCTTTCAAAATTTTCTTTATGAAATTCAATTCTGATCAATTGAATGTGCAATGTCCATTAATTGACAGTGAAACACGCTGGTCCATACTATGTGTAACGCCCAAACGTGCATACATATGTGTACACGTGTGTGTATGTGTGCATTCTCTCCAAGCGTGCCAATATTTCATAAAATTTTAGTAAGTAGTGTGTATCTCATGCCTTACGCTGTGTTTGACTCAACAGAGGGAACGGAAGGAGAGGGATTTCAATGGAAGGAAGGAGAGGGCAGGGGAAGGGAGGAGAGATATAGAGGGGAGGGGAAGGAAAGGGAGGAAAGGGGAGGAATTTTAATAATCTTGTTTAGATTAATCAGAAGGGAAGGAAGGGGAGGCATTTTAATGATACCTTATTTGACATAAGTGGGGAAGGGACGGGAGCTATTCAAAAATTAACTATTTTACTCTTATAAAATTTAAATAAATTTTTTTATTTTTGTATTTTATCAATATTTATGAGGCAATTTACCAACTTGAAAAAAAAAAAAACCACTTAGTTGTGCTTTTACCACAAGCACAACTCATTGAGAAAAACAAAACATAAAAATTGAAATCAAATTTCTTTCCATAATGTTATTTGTTGATTCTACAAGGTTCAAAAGAAAAATTACATTTTTATCATTTTTTATCTTTTATTTCCTTATTTTTTTTAATTTTTAACTCATTAAAAGATTAATAGATGCTTATTATCTAGCTTAAGTTGATATTAATCTATATTGACTTTTTCGAAAATATTATAATTCATCGTTTTTTTTTGTCCCAATGATTTTTATCATTTTATATTTTTTTAGCAAAATTTGAAGTTGTTTGATTTTTCTAGTTTAATATAAGAGGATAATAAAGTTGAGTTGATTAGAGTTATTAAAATTACAACATTGAGAGAGAAATGTAGAATGAAAGGGTAATATTTTCTCTCTCATCTCCCTTCTGAAAAACCCTACTTTTGGAGGGGAGGCCAAAAGGAGAAAAGGAGGGAATGAGAGCCCCTCCCCTCCTTAAAAATTCCAGCCAACCTTCCCTCTCCTCTGAAAATCCCGTACCAAACCCAGTATTAGACGTTGTCTAAAAATTAAGGCATACTCATCATGACTAATAAAAAAGTACGGCTTGTTAGAGTTTTTATATTATATATAGATATATAGATGTGTTCTTTGTTATCTGCTGATGCGATGGCTTCTTGCCTATCATCTTTCAATTGCAGATATCAAGTCAGGAAGCCATAGAAACTGCTAAGCTGCTTGCTTCAAAAGAAGGCTTATTGGTATGGTACCAAACTACTGATTATATCTGTATTTGGTTTCATTTTCGTGGAAAAGCAGAATGATTAGTGTCCATACTCTTGTATGTTCCCGTTGAGTATATACTCCTTCCTTATTGCAGGGGTCCAAATTTTGATTTTTTTTATTCCCCCTAATATGTAAATGCTACTTCTGTAGACGGGAATTTCGTCTGGAGCTGCTGCCGCTGCTGCAATAAAGTTAGGAAAGAGACCAGAAAATGCGGAAAAACTCATTGTTGTAAGTCATTATGTTCTATTAAACTGATTGGACTGAAATTGTAAGATGGCGATCGTCTAGAAATCTACACAAATCATGTGAACCTATTCACCTTATGGATGCACATATTTTGCTATTACCGAATGTTGTCAACAATGTAATATCAGAATTCTAACTAATGGATGGTTAATTTGAGATTGGAGTCTAATGCATAAGTCGATCCTTGCTTCCCAGGTGGTATTTCCCAGTTTTGGCGAGCGTTACCTCTCAACACCATTGTTTGAATCCATTAGACATGAGGTTGAACAAATGACATTTGAGTAATCTAAAGTCCCAGATGCAGTATTTGGAATTGTAACAATCCAAAAGGAATTTAGAATTGTGTAAATAAGTGCACATTCGGGCTTGTTTATCAAACTTATGGCATGGACGCTACATTTTCTTAATACCCAATTGTTAGGGTATAGGAACATTGATTTTTGGTATGTCTTCAATTTGTCTTTCTTTATATGTGGCTTTGTATTCTAAAAATAAGGGGTTCCGATGTATGACTGTGATTCTGTATTCTAACATAACAATTCTAATTCTTATCAATATTCTTCACAACATTTATTGCCCAAAACACTGTCATTGTGAATTATTTACGCAAAATATATGTACCTTTTCAGCTTAAGCTTTGGTTTTCGTCTTGGAACCATCTCTTACATATACAAATGGGTCTTTCAATGGGCTCTCATCAATTTCGAAAGGGATAATGACAACGGGCGGGTCTCAAAAAGAGTTTAACCATGTTTGGTGTCGCATTTCAACTGGTGGCTTTTCGGATTTAAAAAAAATGGCTGGGTCATAAAGAAAAGGCCACTTTCGCTTCCATGGCACATCACGGTGACCCATCCGACCGGGGGTGCTTATGAGGCTTCAATGCTTGCAATGTTAACCCCGGTTCAGTAGAATTATGCCCAACCCAGTTCTGAAAACAAAAAAGCAGTCTAAAAATAATACTCTTCTGGTATTTAATATATGACCTAATTATTAAGTTGATTTTGGTTCTAAATATAAGATTTATTTTTCATATTTATCAATTTTTTCTAAATTATCTATATGAATATTCTCTCAACTATCATCAAATAGAAGAGGGAGAGATGGTATTAAGGAAGATGATTATGGTGTTTTAGGAAAAAAATGTCATATTTCTTATAATTAACTAATTTATCTAACTTCCTTAATCTAATCAAATTAGTTAAATAGGTCTTATATTAAGAAATGGAGGAGTAATAAATTTCAAATATAATTTAAATCACGCAACATATATTGCAAAATATTTTTAATTGAAATTGGATTTGAATTAAATTAAAAATGTTTCAAAATATGAATAATTATTTAAAAAGAATTTACAACATTATTAGCAATTGACAACTGTTACAAATTGAAATTAAAAATGTTTCAAAATTCAGAAGGTTGCCACCCTAAATATTTAAAAAATAGAAAACTTTGTAGCGGTTTTCAATCGTTACAAAGCCGTCCTCAAAATTGAGAAGGTTTCCTGCCTAAATTGAAAAAAAAAAGAAAAAAGAAAAAAGAAAAACCAAACTTTGTAGTGGTCTTTTAACCTAATCCAAAAAACTTGCCGTCAAATATTAATGTTGTCTAACCGCTATGAAAGTTGGGGTCCACCAAAAAAAAAAAAAATTGCCACCAAATAATCTAATACTCCCTGAATCCTTAATATAAGACCTAATTGTTGAGTTAATTTTGGTTCTAAATATAAGACATATTTTTCATATTTATCAGCTTTCTCTACTTTACTCCTATGGATGCTCCCTTAACTATAATCAAGTAGATGAGGGAGAGAAGATATTAAGGAAGATGATTATGATGTTTTAGGAAAAACATGTTATATTTCTTATAATTAACTAACTTACTTAATTTTCTTAATCTAATCAAATTAGTTAATTAGGTCTTATATTAATGATTGGAGGAATAGTTTATGTTTCTGCTACCATGTCCACCTGGGGCTTCACACTTGGACTGGTTAGGTCGTTGACCATGCGGTGGCGATTCTTGATAAACACTAATAAATCGTTTGCACAGTTGTGCCAACTGCTACTAATGCACTATTTCAATTGCTATTATTTTGCGTCTTTTTGTAGTGAGGAAAACAACACTTCCTATGAAAAGAACAACAAAAACAATGAGATGATATGAGTGAGAGGGAGGGAGGGCATGGCAGAGCAACGAAACAAAATATGAAAAAAAGCCAAAAAGCAAAACGACAATTAAACATGTTGGCTTTCACTCACAAGATTCTGAAGTTTGATCATCTGATAAAAACTGCTGGGAAGATGCGGGAAAGCAGGAGGCACATATTCAAACGGCCTAAAATAACTCACCATCATGCCTGGCGCTGTGGAATCTGGCATGTGGGAAGGGAGAGGGAGAGGGAGAGGGAGAGGGAGAGCAAGCACCGTCATGCTTATGTGGAATCACACACGGCATAAGCTAAGGTCCGACGTGATGGAGGTATTTGGAGTAAGGGTGATATGTTGCTCCTATTCTAGGCTCTCACCGTGACATTAAACTAAAAAAAAAAAAAATCAAGATACTCACAGTTCTTCATGAAAACTTTTGAGAAATAAATTATTACTTAATGGGATTTTGATCATCTCTATTTCATTTTCCCTTCAAATTGATGCATTTCCCATTTCAATCACTAGATTAGAATTTAAACAATTCAGATTTCATATTTTATAAAATTATTAATAAAATAATAAATTTTTTATAAATAAATGAATAAAATTAAGTCACCAAATTTTAGCCTTGGTAATGTAAGACAATAATAAAAATATTTTATAAACTTATTTTATAAAATATGTGATCTAGACTGTTCAAATTTATTTTAATATAATCACTGAGACGAAAAGTTGATGAAAATAAAAAGGAAGGGAAGTCAAGAGAAACCAAATCTCTAGTTAGGGTTGTTTCTTTTAATTTACTTTTTTTTTAAATTAATTTTTCTTCTAAAAAGTTGACTTAATGAAAGGTTCATAATTACTTTACCTTTTTTTTTTCAATGGGTTAAGGTGTATCCAGTACCTTAAAGTATTTTTTCAGGTGCATCCAACACCCTAAAGTATTTTGTGGTGTATCCAGCACCTTAAAATATTTTTTTAGGTGTGTTTAGCACTGTAAAATATTTTTTGGTGCATCAAGCATCTCAAAGTTTTTTTTAGGTGCGTTAAACACCATAAAATATTTTTTGGTGCATCTAGTACCAAGGCAAAAAAAAAATATTTCAGGGTGTTGGACGTCCCTAAAAAATATTTCAGGATACTGAATGCACTACAAAATACCTGCACCTGAGAAAATAATTCGGGGTGCTGGATGCACCTTAACCCTTTTTTAATTTATTAGGAAATCTAACTATTATTTCAAATCAAAATAAAGTTTCTTAATGCTAAAGACAAAAATATGCTTTTTAAATGTATTTTGTTCTTTAATTTTTAAGAATATTTTTAGTAATATACAATAAATTAAATACTAAAAAAATTAGAACTTTACTTAAATTTTGCTTGATTGGTTGGTTTCGTAATTGTGATGTAAACGTAAGATTGGACTATTCACGAAATTAAAACTTTTCGTTAGCTAAGAATGAAAAATTTATTGTGGGATAAAGTGCTTAAATATCCTAAAAGTATCTAAGAAGGAATATCTAACACCTAAAAGTTTTTTTTTTTTTTTAAGCTCTGATATGCTTTAAAAGTTTATTTTTATACTTGGCCATTATCTACCATTAAATTATGCTTTTTGCTTTGTATTTTTAACAGTTAAATTTAACAACGAATAACGATTCAGGACATAAATGCTACAAAAATAAAACTTTGAGGGCAAATAAAAGCCCAAAAAAATTTCAGTTATTGTGTGCTCCTTTATAAATACTTCCAAAATATTTAAGCACCGGATTTCAATAATTTTTTTTATTGCATATTTCATGAAAAATTTTAACTTTCCCTTCCTACCTACTAACCCCGAATTAAATAACCGCATAATATGATCATGATATATTACTTTATATAAGAATAAATTTTTTTATTCCAACCCCAAACTGATCAAATTCAATACAGCGGAACTTTAATAAAAGGTAACATCTCTAACAAATTCTGTTATTCATAAGATTTAAATTTAAAAGTTTTTCAAAATAATATCGAATAATCACTTACTGAGAGGAGACTGGGAGAGGGATGAATTTATTATAAATACAATAGAGTTACAAAGGTGGTATAAACTTCAATTCTGTTCATGTATTGATCTTGGGTTAAATAGAAGCCAGTGCTTAAAGAGGTCAGAAGTGGTTCCGCTACTGTGTCGAAACGAAACCAAAATGATTGCAAGAAACAGACACTAGAAAATGTTTGAAAAACATTTCAAACATTTGTAGTTTAACTAAACCCTAAACCTACCAGTAAATACTCACTGGGAAATAAAGGCGAGAAAACGCGTCTTGGCCCAAAGGAAAAACGCGTAGAAATTTTTACTCTTTCTTGTTCAACTCTCTCCCTCGCTCACACTGCTTCTGCAAATTCATCTGAAAGCAGCACCAAAGAGTTTCTGTTTCACCATTTTACAGATTCCCTCAATAAGCTCACATCGTTACTTTTATATGCATAATTTTCAGTTTGCTGTAGTGCTCTATCCATATTCCTTGGAAGAATGCATGATTTCTGTTTGTATTTTCTTTTGTTCTTGTTGAAGCATTATTGGACACTATTTTAAAGTCGTAAAAGCTGTGGGGCTGTGGCAGTCCCGACGGAAAATATGTGTGTTGACTAGTGCTGGATATCATGAATCATGGATCATATAGATCCAAGCTTTCATCGCCCCTAGTTGTCTAATTATCATTAGCTGTGTTTATTTTAGTACTTCTGAAAACATAGATCTTGACTTTAAGGGGAAAAAATTAAGAATATGATGAAGAAAAAGAAAGAAAGAAAGATAACAAAAGGAAGTACAGATCTAGGCATATAATTATATTGTCTCGCATAACCAAAATTCAAAATTTTCGTTTCTGATGGATTTCACAAACATTTTCATTTGAAAAAGGATTTATTTGGACATGACGGAGATAAAAACCGATAATGCTAACTCCAGCAAGACAACAGATAATAATGCTACCTCCAGCAACACAACCGATGATAATGCTACCTCTAGCGAGAAAGAAGTAGCCACCAAAATCACAGGCATGGATCCTGAGTTTCATAGAGCCGCAATGCAAGGTAATATCGGTGCCTTTGAAGGAAAAGATATGCAAATTATTGAGTCCATGCTAACCCCAGATAAAAATAAAATCCTCTATATACACCTCACAAACCATACTGACAAGGTATCAGAGACATTTGTGAAAGAAGTTATACATATGTGTCCTAAACTTCTTTCAAAGAAAAATGTGAAGGATTAAACCTTACTTCATAAAGAAGTAAGGTATGGACATCATCAAATAGTGTAAAAACTAATTAGTTATGCTAAAGTTTTCTTCAAAATGTCAAAGAAGTTGGAGCCGAGAAAAGACTGATAAGAGCTAAAAATGATAAGAGGGACACGGCTTTGCATGAAGCAGC